TCCCTTTACCAATATATTTGGTTTCGAAATGGTGTCCACAAAGCCTATAATTCTTATACAGGGTGGTCCGAATTTTATGCAGGAAACTTCGAGGGCAGATAGATATCTTTAAAATAATATGTGTTTGCCTTATAAACATAGGTCTGGAACGGTACCGTTTTAGAGATACAGGTTGTTGAAGTTGGCAAAAAAAAATTGATTTTTTGTTTATATCTCCGGAATCTATTAACCGATCTCAATAAAATTTGGTACATATAATGTATGATAATAGCCCTTATATTCCCTGAAATATGAGCTTTAAAGGTTCAACCAGTAGTGTACAACTGGACAGGGGTTGCCCCCTTTTTTACAAAAAACCTACGCCACTGCATTTTTTACATGTCATTGTAACTGATTTATATTTTAATGCACAAAATACGTAAAAAAGGTAACTTTAATTTTTTCCCTAAGATTCGCCGTTCTCAAGTTATTCATACATACAATCCCCTTGTGGCAGACACTTCTAACGATAATATTAGAAGAATATTTGTTTATGTTTAAAAGTAAGTGCAATTTGTAAGCACATCAATAAAATAATTTACACTCCTTTCTACACCCATTTTTAACAATACAATACAAAAAAAAATCCAGGTGCAAAATTCTTGTTTGCGTTTCATATATGGTATTCGTAGAGGGGAACATATTATCCATAAACTAAAAGATAATAACTCGTTAGGAGGATTTTGCATGCAGTAGTTTTATTTCATTATTGTTAGCAGAACTCCATCATATCTTATTATTAGATATATGGTATTAACTTAAAAATATTACTTGCAATTTCTATTACTAAACTGATTTATTTCCATGGTAATGTTTTCTAAATTGATCCTAAGACATTTTATGCACTGTGTCCCAAAAGTTCCAAAACAGCAAGATATCTAGATTAATAGTGAATTTAAGGTAAAGTTCAGATATACTTCAGAAAATAAGTACATTCCTTTTATCATTTTTTGACGTGTCAAATGTTTACATTTACCCCCCTTCCCCACAAGGTTCCCTCCTTTTTTTTAATTGCACAGTACGGCTTGTGATACGTCATTTGAAAGATAATTTCATTTTCTTTACAGTAATGTAAAGTTTTCTGGAATATCTTAGAAAACAAAGGAGTTACAGGTATTTTTTCTTAAATACACATCTTTATTAAGAAATACAAATGAGAAAATAATATTACGCGATTATACTTTGAATAAAAAATCTATTTTAATAAATGTTCAAATTGTCTCCCACCCTCAATTTGGCGAACATTCCAACCTATAGCAGAACAATGTCACAACTTATTAAACTCTAGTATTACTTTAGTAATTTGTTAAGATTCCTCAAATATTCTGTTTCTCAGGGCATCTGTATTTAATGCCTTTGTTTTATGAATATTATTTTTTAAATGTTCCTAAAAGAAGTAATCTAGGCGTGTCATATTAGGAGAGTATGCTGGCCATTCTGGAATTTTATAGAGGGTAGTTGAATAAGCTACAGCAGTTAGGCCCCATTGGGCCCCTTGTACTTCCTCCCATTAGAAGATCAATCCACCTGAGCCGCTAACCAATCTATTATAGAGAAAAAGGTGGTGACGCTGCTCAGAGGGATCTCTCTAATATAGGCCACAGAAGGCCAACGCTCTCCTAACACGGATTCTCTTTTTGACGAGACGGCAATGCATTCACATAGTACATGTAGTACTGTTTTGTCTTCCTGTTCGCAGTCCCTACAAAGAAGTGTTTCACACTTCTTCATGTTGTGAAGGTGCTTTTTTAGCCGACTGTGTCCAGTGTTTTCAGATGTTTTCCTTGATAATTTCAGCATGTGCTAACAACGCAAGCACACTGGAGGGACCGGGTCCAAAAATATTGAGGCCAGATGCACTCCTGGCTAACTTGTTAACTTCTTTATTGCCATTGCACCGCTTGTGTCCTTTGACCCAGCATACAGATATGCTGCTGGAAACTGAGGCCACGACCAGTGCCTGGTGGCATACTGACCTAGTCATTATCTTACGATTACGTAAGATCAGAAGTGCTTGTCTAGTAGCTGTGTTGATTCTAATGGTTTTACCCGCAGAGTGCCCACGGGCAATTTATTTAGCTACTATGGTTATAACTGCTAATTCCGTTTGTACCAAGGTAGCATGTCTATCCATTACCCACTGATATCCGATATGCAAGGATCTAGAATATATTCCACATCCTGGAGACATTAATTACATCTTCGCGGGCGGTCTCCTCCTTAATGAGTACAGTGTAGAGCTTGTCGAACGCAAACCGGGGAGAAATACTATTAGCGTTTGCCTGCAGAAGGGGCATCTTCCTGACGACCCCGTTCCATAGTCGATTCCTAACTTCTGCGCATTCTTCATCCCTTTTGAAATCAACGTTCTTCGAGGCGAAGCATGGTTGTCAAGGCCACTTCTCTTAGATAGATATCCGGACGTGGCAGACACAGCATTACCTCCACTGTTATGGTGGGTATTGTTCGCATAGCTCCAATTTAGCTGTCGCTTTCGGCCACCAGACGACAGCCCCATAATTACCGTACATACACATTACCACTTTTGGTTTCATTCCCCAGGTTTTACCGACGGTTCTGCGGCACTGCTCATAGGATATATAAGCCTTTTTTAAACTTCTTTCAAAATAAAAATTCCATGTTAGCTTAGCATCGGGTGTGATCCCTAGGTATTTCACATCAGATGCAATGCTTAGCGTAGTGTTTAGGAGAATTGGTGCCTTTATTGGCCCCAATTTTCTCTTCCTCGTGAAGAGAACCATCTACGTCTTTCTGGGGTTGATTGATAGAGCATGGTCCTCACACACTTTTCAATAGTTCTTAGAGTTGTTTGCATTCTTTGGCATAGAATCCCTTCGAATTTTCCACTAATCAGCATAGTGAGGTCATCTACATAAGCGATGGTACAGATGCAGATTTCCGAGTTCAAGTGGCATAGGAAACTGTCTAGAACAAAGTTCCACAGCAGTGGTGATAAAACATCTCTCAGTGGACAGCCCCTTGCAACAATTTCTCTCGCCGAAGCATCTCCCACACTGATTTATCACAAGCCATACTGTGTAATTAAAAAAAATGGGAGTAACCTTGTGGGGGGTAGGGAGGGTAAATTTAAACATTTGTTTGCACGTCAAAAAATGACAAAAGGAATGTACTTTCTGAAGTATATCTGAACTTTACCTAAAACTCACTATTAATCTAGATATCTTGCTGTTCCAGGACTATTGGGACACAGTGTATATTTTTGTAACTTAAGATATTAAAGTGATATTAAAGTGAATCATGATGCTCCCTGGATCCGAACAGGCTACAAATGTGAAAATAGGTAGGCAAACATCAGTTTTACTTTAACTCATCTGGTAGTGTAGCTTATAAAACCAACTCTGTTTATCAATATAGGGACTTTACTAAAGATTGTACTGCAGCATCTTCGGGTAAGACAATAAAGGACCTACTTCGACATAATTTAAGCAATTTAAATTAGGACCTTGAGAAAAGTCCAAGGCAAGAAAACCATATACAAAACATAAAAATTGCAGCTACTTACTTGAATTTAATCTTCATTTTTATTAAAGAAAGTTACATAAAAATTTAAATTATTCAAATTAGGAAATTAATTATTTATTAATTCGCATTAATTGAAACTCCAAATCGCAGATTTCTTAGAATAAATTGTAACACTAATTATTCCTAATAACATTTTTATCCACTTTAGTCACAATACTAAAATTCTATTAGTTAGTAATTCCCATAATATCAGTGTATTTTATTATGGAAATAAAAAAATAATAATAATTGGAAAGAAACATTTGTAACATGGTTCTTAAAGTAACATCAAACAGTAAATTGTGTTCATGTTACCAAATTGAATTTTTTATAAAAAAAAAATCAGTTCTATATTTGGAACAAGTTTATATTTTTTATAATGTAAAAAAAATCAATTGAAATTGGTATACGTTGCACAATTAGAGCTGTCTGTATTTCATGTACAGTACTAATATTTTTGTTATTTTAATAAGGGTACCACAATGTCATGTAAAATAGAACAGAATTTAACACAGTACAGCTGCAGTCATTTTTCATTCATTTCCTCGGCAACATACATTCTGTTAAAAAAGTATTCCGAATTTTTCATTTAAAAATTCCATGTAAAGTAGATTTAAATTTATTTTTTGATAGATAGTTGGTAGCACTGTACTCTACTCTGACGCCAAGTTTGAGCTTAATCTGTCAAGAAGTTTGTCTACAGCTGTTAATCCTGATAGTCCACTTAAATTGTATTTCGTGATATTTCCTAAGGATAATATCAACGTCTTCAACTGAAGAAAACATTGATAAAGTGAGGGATAGGGTGCTTGCAAATCTTCATTATAGTTTGAGATAACTGGCATACGAACTAAACATATCTCATGAATCAGTTTGCACCATTTTAGTTGGTGTTCTGGGTATGATAAGTGTCGCAGCAGGGCTGGTTCCAAAAGAGCTGAATTTTCTTCAAAAAAAGCATCGCAAACATGTTGCTAAATTTGCTTGGAGAAGGGTCGATTATTTCGACCTCTTACAAAAATACTTCTGGGTTGAAAAAATTTCAAAGTAGTAAAAGAAAAATAATTTTTAATTTTTGGAGGAGCGTAACTTTTTAGGGGTTTTCTAAACAAATTTTATACCAAAGACCCCTATTAATTTTCATCAGAGAATAGCCCCTTACATTTTTCAGTGTTACTTACATACACCCTGTATAGTGTTTTATTGACAAATTTCGGATACTTTTTTGACAGAATGTATATTAGCTGCCCAGATTATCCAGAAATATGTGCCCAAAATAAAAAAAGCACAGTAATGTTCCTCAATTTGTTAAATTATACTAGTAATTATTTTGCTATATCTATTTGCTTCCAAGATATGAATTTTAGAATAAAATTTATTTAAAATACAAAGAAAAATTGCGTTTAAAATATAATTACCTTAATTTAGTTGGATAAGGTTTTAAAACTGTCATCTTAATTAGAGTATACTCTTGTGGTCCGACACCTTCTCCTGAAGCCCTGTCATGATCCATACATGGTTGACCATCACGAATTGAATAAATCGTATATCGTTTACCAAACTGAACTTTATTTCTTTCTTTTAATCTTATAAACTGCCACCTCACAAAGGAATCATAAAAAAGATTTGCATCTGTAGTAATAAAAGTTCGCCTCCAATCAGTCTATGGAAAAATAATATTTATAAATATGTACTAAAAATGAAATCTTAATAGAACACACAATATTTATTATAATAAACAATGTTTTGCAAGATATAAATAAAAACACTCACTTAACCTCTTAACTGATTATGACGGATATATATGCTGACTTAAAGTCGTTTTGCAATGGTTATGTCGAATATACTCGCAGTCCAATTTGTGTAAGAGCCTTTCACGAAATATGAGATTTGATCAAAAAGTAACTGGAATTTTCAAATTACGCTTGTATCTTGTTTTGATCAATTTGCATGAGGCAATTGTTAATTTGTTTTTTACTTTCTATTATTTTTTCTAACGTTAATTAATTTTTCGTTTTGTTTTTTTCCAAGTAATACGTAGGTACTGTTGTAACTATAGATTTGGAAAAATATTCATACAAAGAACCTTGAAGGAAAATTGAGTTTTTGTAATTATTTCTTAGAATATTAGGGTTCCATATTTGTGTATTTGTGTAAGCAATAATTAATTTGTAGATTGAATAAAAAAAAAATGATATTTTTTTATAATTCAAACATTTATATTGTCAAACCTACACAAGATATCAAGATTCAGAAAATGACTGTTTTAATGAAAACTTTCAATGACATACGAGGGTTGTCCGTAAATTAAGGTGTCCAACAAGCTCCCGTTGCGACGGAGCGGGCTAGCTTAAATCTGACAACAGCACCGTGTTCCTTGCTTCCCCCACCACTAATCTGGCTGGTCACTACCTCGCTGTGGTGATCAGTCTTGGTTTAGCAGCCGTTAACGATGGAAGGAAAAATTCGACGCTCCTGCCAAGTGTGAATTGCGTTCGATAGATCTTATCGCCATATTCGGGTGAGAAATCATAGATCATCCTCCTTACAGCCCTGATTGGGCCCCTAGTGACTACTATTTGTTTCCCAACCTGAAACAACACTTGGGAGGAACGAAATTCTCCAGCGACGAAGAGCTGAAGGCAGCCGTCGATACCTTCTGCGCGAGTCGGCGGGAGAGTGGTACGACGCGGGTATGAATAAGCTCCCAGAACGACTCCAAAAATGCATTGATCGTGACGGGGACTACGTTGAAAAATAGCTAAAAGTCCAAGGTTTCAGAATATGTACTTAGTTTTGCAATAAAATGATGTTTACTATTTGAAAAAACATTGGAGATCTTAATTTACGGACAACCCTCGTAGATTATGAATTTTTAACATTATGTTATGAAAAATTCTTGAAAATAAATGAAAATCACAACTATCTCAAAATTTTTCACCCTTTACTGTTTACCATGCCAACATTCATTTTAGAAATCAACAAGCAAAAAATGTAGTGTTAAAAATAATAGTTATTTGTTTAACTAGTCAGTAAAGTACAAGATTTAATGCCACAGCTTGTATTTAATAGACGATGTGTAGCCGAGTCGATTAAAACAGCCAAGGCATTAAATCTACTTTACTGCCTAATTAAACACATAATTTTTTCACCAATCAATTTAAGTTTTATCATAATAGCAAACAATACTATTTATTTTATATTGTTAAAATTGTATGACATTTCTTTCATGAATAATCATAATTTTATCAGGTAGTTGTCTGTGAATGCTAAGAGATGAGCGTTATTAAGTAATATACTGGGTGATTCAGCTAAAACTCCGCGGGCTGATTACTTGGAAACAAAAGAAGATATATACGTTCTGCGAGTTCTATTTGTTAAATATACAGTGATTTTATTTTTGTGTAGAGATAATGCCATTGGGATGGACGTCGCCGGCGTCGGGACGCCGAGAAAATATTTTTTCATTGCAGGAACTTTAAAAATATAACTATCTAAAAGTAANCATCCATCCATCCATCCATCCATCCATCCATCCATCTATTAACCTCGGCCATATTTTTTTATATCTCTTATTTCTTTATCATTTGTAATTTTATCAGAGAAAAAGTATATATTATATGTGTTTATATGTTTTATAATTAAAAGAAATAGATTTACGTGTGCAGAAAATAAAATACAACTTTTTTTTACAAATTTCAACAAAATTTGTTATTTGTTTTTATTTGCATGTTATTCTCCGTGCTTTTTATTTGTCACATTCAGTGATTTAAAAAACAAATAATGAAAAAATTTATTTCTTTTCAAACCGTCAGATTAAGAAAACCCCTCCAAATAATCGTCAGATTATGGATCAGCACGACTAGGGCATCAAACTGAATCATCTATATGAAAATCTGACGCGCTCGAGTATTTCAAAATGGCGATTTTTTTTTGGTTTTCAAAAAGCTGCCACGAGTTTGCGTCACATCCGAATCGTCAGTCTTTTGAATGGGAGCTTCGTTCGGGTTCACTTAACATCCCTTCTGAATATCTGACGCGCTAGAGTAAATTTTTTTTTCCCCATTTCCGTACGGCCGCCCCCACCATCCAAATCGGCAGATTAACATATCTCCATCATCGGAGACACGTAGAGCATATACACTATCAATATCTGACGTGCCCGAGTATTTCCATGTGACTGTTTTTTTTTTTACATTTTTGAAAGCCTGTAGACGCTTCCCCCACCGGTGACAGGGTATACATCATATAAAATTTTTTTCTTTCTACCATCTAATCTTCAAAATCCAATAGGTCCCGACGACGCTCGAGTAAATCCCTGTTTAGCATCGTGGGCTCCCCTACTATAAGGGGGATGAAGCGTGCCGGGAACGAAAATCCATTGGCGTGTCTGCGTAAAAGGCAACAATATATAGAAAATATAAAAAAAAATAATAAAACATAACATCTAATATTTTTTACGGTTTGCTATAACCGGCACTTTGATCCATTTTAATTATTACAGCATTTTAAAACGTCCCAGTTGTGTTTTTTTAATTTATAAATTTATTATAGCCATGGAATTAGACCCCTCGTCTACGCTTATGCTATGACGTTTCTCAGGTCGGGCAAATCAAGTCCGTTTACACCCACTAAAAAAGCATTTCCCTATTCCCTACCAAGTGCAAAAGACAGAGATAGAATATAGATGGACGTTCAGTGTAACTCAGTCTATAGACGATTATA